AACGAGTGGTTCACATCGCTCACAAGACTTCGCCACTCGTAAACAAGAAAGTATTTTACTACGCTGATAATGCAGTTCTGATCATTCTCCCTATGGATACCACCCAACCTGTCCAGCTAAAGCTTAACCCCGATGAGGAAGAATTTTTTCTATTGCAAACAGGCATCGAAAGCGTTGATGATCTCAAGGAACATATTTTGGATATTCAAAGGGATGCCCTCAAGGTACTTTACATCTCCTCCATATGGATATCCAAGCTGAAATTGAATGCAGATAGTTCCCTATGTATGCATTCGTTATTTTGATTTTATAAGGTCAATAACTCCGATTAGAATATCTGACGTGTAACTGATGACAGGATCTTGACAGACTCAAGATGTCAAAACTGCCTTGGTACAATCAAGTTCTCCAATCTATGAAGATTAATGAGAGTACCATTTTCCTTGACATGGCATGTTGTCGTAAGCTCTTTTCTAAAATTCAAGTATTTTCTTTCTAATATGATCCTAGTTGGTACGGACATCCGAAAGGCGATTGCAGACGGGTTTCCAGCAGAGAGAATCATTGCTTCTGATATCTGCCAAGGTATTATCGTTTAATTTCTACCGATCTATGCTCATTGCATCTTAGAATTTTGGAACCTCGGACATAAACTTTTCAGGACCAACCCTGAAGAAATATTTCCAAAGTTTTTTTGCGGCGATGTACTTGATACATCTTTCATTCCTGATATTCTGCAATCCAACACTAGTCAAGAAGTACCCAGTGAACAGGATAAAATGGCATCTTTTGCAGGCCATGTTAAAATCATCCATGCATCTAATCTTTTCCATCTTTTTAATGAGGCGGATCAAACTACAGTTGCGGAACGGCTGGCAGTATTGGTCTCTCATTCACCAGGCTCAATAATATTTGGTTCCCAAGTTGGTCGACACGAAAAGGGCTACCGTGAAGAGGCAATCGCACCACCAGCTAACGCTGGATATCTTGGAAATAAGACTTTCTGTCATTCAGTCTCGAGTTGGACCGAAATGTGGCATGGAATTTTTCCTGCTGGATCCATCCGTGTTGACGCTGATTTGGTGGAGCGTTCTAAAGAGGATTTGGTTGGTCTCGAGCCTGGTGTAAAACTGTATCAAATTATGTGGTGTGTTACTGTGTTATAAATCCAGAATAGAAAGACTTGGATTAGAACGTAAATTATGAATAGTGCTTGGCACGTTGTTTAGAGCTTTTACATTTATTTTCCTCGCTTCACAGTGTCACAGTAGCATGAAAATTTCATAAAACAATCCTTTTAGCAGTACAAATCTGCATATGCATACTGCTCAATCAATGCATAGAATATCCACCAAAACCCAATTATATCCTTCGTAATACGTACTCATCATTTCTCTGCTTCGCCTTCCTCTCTTTAACTTTCGTAACGATATAAACCACCCCACCAATCACCACAAGCGCCGCACCAATACCAAGAACTACATGAGGCGCCACAACTGCTGTAGCACCTAACGACTGAAGAAGAGCATATTACGCAGCCATTTTTCGGTATAAAATGTAAGTGTGTGTGAATTTAGCAAGAATTCAACGGCTAACTGTCAAGATCACGTACTTTCACAGCTGTTATGTGTCAACATTCTTTGATTTGTCAACTTCAATAGTTAACTCTGTGGTGCAACAGCACGACTCCCTGAAAAATCAATGCAAGTGTCAGTGATTGCTGATTATATGCCAACACTTACTAGCACAACTTTTAAAATTGGGAGTTGAGGTTTGTATTATCCTGAAGTAAGTATCTGGTATTTAGTGATGAACTCTCTGTAATGAAAAATTAGGTGTTAAGTAACATTTTTGGCATTTAATGTATCTAATGAAAATGGGATCAGACTTCAAATTGATATTTTCCCTGATAAAAGTATATGGATTTAGAAGGTATTGCCAAATTAGTACCGGAAATGGCTACCGAGAAACGGTTTTGTGATTGATCATGCAGCACAGACTATCCATTATTATCAAAGGTGAACAACGTTAGTAGTAGACTGCTTTCCTGCAATATCAACAGTGTTGTTCAAATAGCACATTGTTGATTGTTACCACTTGCAATTTTGATCACACGATGTAGACTTCGGCACCTACACACTTGATTTTGGCGAGTATGCACTTGATTACTCAACGCATAAACATTGACTCTGAGAGTTACATTTTATACCGAAAAATGGCTGCATAGCAAATAAACCACCGGTTGCCCCGCCGTAGATGAGAGATTGGATTCCAGCGGCGAGGGAGCCTGGGAATTGTATGAGTTCAAGTGGTGAGAATAGATAAAGGTAAGCAGCGAGTGCACACACCTGCAACAACGCCCATTGCGGTGAACCCGATCGCGTTGATGATAACCGTTCCAAGTGAGGGTAGGATGAGGGAACTACCGACGGCAAGGAGAGCTTTCCCTGCGAGTTTGGCGATTTGGATCGGGGTGAGATTGAGGTTAAGACGTTCGAGTCGGTTATTGGACATTGTTCGTAGTTGGTTAAGTGATGTCGATGATGGTGGTGTTGGTGGACAGAGAGGTTTGAGCTTTGAGTATCTTTAAAAGCTTTTGTGGGCGTACATTGTAAGTTTAATAGCGCCGTACAAACTTTGTTTGACAGAGAAGAGAAGATGGGTACTCTTAAAAGGAAACCCCGTCTTCATAAAAGATATGATCATTTCTCGTGTTCAAAGATTGTCTCAAAAGTATACATATTTCTCGCCCCAAAAGCTTGTACATAGCTGCGCATCAAGTATCACTCTTCTTCAGTTTCACATTTTTCACACTTTACAATCCAACACCCCTCCTCGATTCCCGAACCTTCGAAACCACATACGCCACCCCACCAATGATAACGAGAGCTGCCCCAACACCAAGAACTGGAGGCGAAGCGATAACTGCCGTAGCACCCAACGACTGGAATGCGGAGAATAAACCGCCTGTGAATGCGCCACAAAAAACTGATTGGATGGTTGCAGCGAGGGAACCTGATTGCGAACACGAGTCATCAAAAAATGCATTCAAGTAAGTGTTTAAAGACACACGCACCTGCAGCAACACCAGCTGAAGTGAATCCGATAGCGTTTATAACGGCTATCCCGATAGAAGGGAGGATAATTGTGCTACCGACAGTTAAGAGTGCCCCCGCTGCGAGTCGAGCGAGTTGTTCTGCGCTAAGACCGATCTGGTTTAAGAGAACTCGTGCTCCGAATCGGGCGAGTTGGGTGGGGTCGATACCGGTTGAACGTTGGAGTTCTGAGGACATTGCTATTGATAGGATGGGGAGGGGTTTTTTGAGCCTGGTTCGAAATGTGGTGGTGGTTGGTGGTTGAGAGCAAAGTTCGATTTGATGATCGAGGGGTTTATATCTGCGTGATTACGTGTTGTGGGCGTAGAAAAAGTTTAATCTTATTCTTTACCGAGAACTTATCTGTGGGAGCAACACCGATAGGAGGATACCTGAAAATAATGCTAAAGCGACATGAATCAGTGATCGGAGCCTGCGTTGAGTAGGTATTCGGCATCCCTCCTTCCGGGATTCAGGCGTAGTTACCCCATATCTACAGTCGATTACCGCATGTCAGTAGCACTCAGTTCTATCCAGTCCGTTCCTTGTTGGTATTCCGCTTTGGAGCACCCAGGCTACTCCAGCGTATAAATATATAGATATTTAAAGACAATCGTCTCTAGCGTTTAGGTATATCTACTCAAATAATACAATCAATCGCTCTTCTCCAATGGCTTATCCTCCCCTTCTTTAACCTTTGTAACAATATAAGTCACCCCACCAATGACAACAAGAGTCGCTCCAATACCGAGAACAGCAGGCGAAGCCATAACAGCCGTCGCACCCACAGACTGGAGAGCAGAGAATGTGCCAGTCGTATATGCGCCATAGACAACTGGTTGAACGATAGTGGCAACGGATCCTGCGGGTAAACAGAATAAGTGAGTCAGGGTGATGAGTCACTGTTGATTGGATACAAGTATACCTGGGGCAACACCCGCACTTGTAAACCCAGCAGCGTTCACAGCAGCCAAGCCGATAGAAGGGAGGGTCATTGTGCTGCCGACGGTCATGAGTGTACCAGCTGTGAGTTTAGCTGTTTGCTTTCGGTCGAGAGTGAGACGTGGAAGGCGGGCTAGGAGGGCATTTGCTCCAAGTCGAGCGGTTTGCATCGGGGTAAGAGTAGAATGTTGGAGATCGGACTCTGAGGACATCGAGAATAATAGTGCTTGTGCTCAGTGGCTATTTGCTAGTGGATGGAAGTTAAGAAGAAGGTGTAGTTGACTCGAGGGGCTTATATACAGGAGGGTAGGTGAATTTTGGTTATATTTGCGGGTCATATTTGCGGGATGGTGGCTGTTATAAAAGTTAACAAAACTAAAAATAGGCCGGCTCCATACTATCGCAATCTCTGGCATGGGCAGTAGACATGCTGTCTTGTAATATCAAGAGTGAGCTGCAAAATTATACATGCTGATAGATACTTTTGTGGACGTAAAAGGTTGAATGTTGTCGTTTGAGGAGAGTTTAACCTGATCTGAAGGTGTAAAACCAACAGCCTTGATATGTTATGAGTAATATAGCTGTGATGGATTATACCCTCCTTCATTCCTATTACACCGCATTTATCTGACTAGATGTTTCTTTTATCTTCTACTTGGTTCTATCTGTTTCTAGATATACAGCTACTTGTAACAGCACTTCCTTCTTGTCTAATACCATTGTGTTTAACTTACATTTTGCTTGAATAGTAAGATTTGTTATGTTAGCATGAGTAAGTAAGGCCTTGTGCTGATCACTTATCTTCAACCCCGACTGTGGCGAAAGCACTTCAATAACTCGTTGTAGACACGAAAGTAATTGTCATTCAATAAGAATTATACGTGACTTTTCACAATAGCTGTTGCTTTGCTGTATACGAATTTTGATCTGGACGGAAAAAGAACTTTACCGGACCCCCAACTATACCACCGACGGGGATCGAACCCGCAACCTTCGCCTCCGTCAAAGGATGTATGCCAGATAGGAAAGCGACGCCCTACCATTGGGCTACGATGGCATACATGGAGTTGGAGGAGGATACTGAAGCGGCACGAAGGAGATAAGATAAGAAACACGGTTCGGATCAAGGAACGTTCCAGAACACCGCCTTCGGACCGAACCTCAACATAGAACACACATCAAGCGTCGTTATTTCCTTTTCTTCTTTCTCTTCTTCTCCAGTGCTCGTGTGCAGCATTCTAGAACGTAATAAACAAAGTGTTGGATACACGTTGGTTCAGCGTGCAGATCGATATTAGTATCTCGCCTCGTGCCCCTTTTTTCTCCAGCGACAACGATGGCCTCGAATTCTGATGCGATTTTATCACAAATTCTGGCTCAGATCCAGGCGTTGCAAGTTTCTCAACAGGCTTTGACTGAAAAGGTGTGTCCTTCCATGTATCATTATTCAAAATCTAACGCAACCAGGTCGACGCCCTAACCAACCCAACACCGAATATCAATCCACACGCAACCCTAACAAGCCCCGAACCAATCCCATCCGCCGTATCCCCACCACCGACCTCCAGAACCGTATCTTCCAAAGACAAGGAACGCGAGAAAACCCTCTACCCAGGTCGTGTCCTCCTAACCACCTACCCCGACCAACACGGTATCCATCCCTATCAACTCTCCTGGTTCTCCTCCTCCCCATCTACCCGTGGCCCCGTCATCTGTTCCCGTCTCCCATCCTCCATCAAACTCCGCAATGCTATCGGCGCCCATTCCGGGTCATACTCGATCTACCGAGCGCTCAGTATCGGAATGGGCACGCTAGATCCGAACCATAGGCCAGATTACAGTTTGACCTCGCCGCCTGTAGATGTTCCTCCGAACGAAGCGTGGTGGACACCAGGAAAGATCGTCTCGTTTGATCCGTGGGGCCACCTCGTCCCCCAAGTCTTCGCTTCCCAGATCAACGACGAAGGACTCGATATCCGTCCGTCTATCGCTGTCACCCGTGCACATATCAAACTGAGCGAGATCGATGAGGCTGTTCGAAAAGGCGATATCGAGTTGGATGGTAAGATCGTGATGAAGAGTGCGCCGGTGAGGAATGAGGATGGGACTCTTAATGATAAAGTTGATCCTGGGGTTGAAGTGTCGGTGAGCAAGGCGGCTGTTGAGCCTGTTTGGTATTTGCCTGGGGTTGCGGAGAGGTTTGGAATTTCGGAGACGCTGTTGAGGAGGGCGTTGTTTGAGGAGACGGGTGGGATGTATCCAGAGTTGATTACGAGGCCTGATATCAAAGTGTTTCTTCCGCCTATTGGGAATCTTACTGTGTATATCTGTGCGTCGTTTTCCTTTCTTGACGAGTCTGCTATATTGATGGCTTTCTCAGTCGGTAACCCTGCTCTCCTTTCTTCCCCAACTGCACACCTCACGCTCCGAGTCCACGACGAGTGTAACGGTTCTGATGTATTCGGCTCCGACATTTGTACATGCAAACCCTACCTCGTCTACGCTATGGAAGAATGTATCCGTACTGCACAGGGCAAACAAGAAGATATGGTTAGAGACGGCAAGACCGAGGGCGTCGGTGTCGTCGTTTACTTTAGGAAAGAAGGAAGGGCATTAGGTGAAGTTACCAAGTGAGTCTTTCCTTTCCTGACTGAAAAACACGCTTATATTAACCCGTTGTCCAGGTACCTCGTCTACAACCTCCGTAAACGCGGAGGCGACTCTGCAGACAAGTACTTCCGCTCAACAGAAGTCATCGCTGGAGTCAAGGATATGCGTCATCAAGCTCTCATGCCTGATATTCTTCACTGGTTGGGTATAACCAAGGTCGATGGGATGGTAAGTATGAGTGATATGAAGTATGATGCGATTGTAGGGAGTGGGATTACGATTGGGAGGAGGTATGATTTGCCTGGTGGGTGTTTCTTGTTTTTGCATTTGCTGCATAATTAACTGTTTGTTGTAGATTATCTCATTCCACCGGATTCGCGTGTAGAGATTGACGCAAAGATTGCTTCGGGATACTTTTCTTCGAGGGTTGGAGCAAAGGGTATGGGTATGAGTGAGGATGAGTTGAAGAAGACGGTTGGGAGGGGTTGGGAGGAGGTTGAGCATTAATCGGTTTTAATTTTGTTCTGATCGGATTGTTGTACTCGTGTATACGTGTTGTAACTCGGAAAGATTGTCTTCCTTTCTTGATGCACGAGGTGGCTTCCCTGGTTTTGAGCAGGACGAATGATTCTTGCATGACCCGTGTGATGGCTCTCAAACCTTATCATTTCATCTTTTGGACAGTAATGATATATGTACAACGCGTACAACACGATGTCCATCCAGCTTGCTTTTGTCTCCTTATTTCATCTCTCAAGTCCCCCGTATAGATTTGCGTCGACTTCCAGTGCCCAACACTGTATTTTGTGCCATTTCAAAAGTTATAATTGGTCGGCAATCAGACTTTTCGTTTTTCACTGAGCTTGTATCGGACAATTTCAGACCTCTCAAACAAGAGAATACTGCCGGACCTCCATATTCGTCCGAATTTCGAGCCTCCCCGCCATTAGACATTTTTTTCTGGTCACACCCCGTCAGCCCCTGTGGTGATCTTTTTAGGGAGACTGCACTTTACAGACTATTGATGGGTCGTCCAAACTTTGATGTCAAGGGAATTCCGAGGTGGCCGACCAATCTACGGAAAGCTCATCCCAAAACGCAGCCTACACTTAACGAATCAGTCCAGGGACCAACACCCGCGGATAACACGCAGGATGCTGGCGGTTTTGGTGACGGTTTTGATCAGAGTCAACCTCCATCAGTATGTATAACCTTCTTTATTTCTGTCAAACGAATACGGCCAACCAATCTACAGAACGCTCATCCCGAAACGCAGTCCACACCTAACGAACCAGTCCAGGGAACAACACACACGGACAATACACAGGATGCTGGCGGTTCTGGCGACAGTGGTGATGGGTTTGATCAGAGTGGAAGCGAAACTCAGCCAGTAGACATTGATGAATCTGGTATTCCTACTCCAGAAATAAGACAAAAAGGGTCTTTCACAGGCAACAACATCTCTGGATCGTCCTTTGATTTCGTTAGCGGGGATCAGCAACGGATTGAAAATAACAACAACCAGGTTACCCATAATACTTATAACAATAATTACAACAACCCTCCTAGTCAGTGTTATCGAGGATCTTATACAACAGTTACTGAACTAATCTATTGCTATCGCCGCAGAGGCAGGCTTAGGCATGCTTATCGCGACAGGTGCTGGAGGAATTGGAGTCGGAACTGCCGGTAGTTCCCTTTACTACAAATACTGGGAACCAAAGGCACCTCGCGCAAATAACGTGACGGAATGTCCGAATTTAGCAATTTCGGTGACGCTAGCCGCAGTATTGTCGAAAACAAAAATCCGAGTTTTGTTCGACGTGTGCCGGAACGTGTGATAGTTGCAAGATGCTGCTTTAGTTCTCTAGGACTGCTGAAGATATATCTTTACAACCAGACAATCGTCCCCGTAAGTGACTGGTATGTTTGCGTCTTGCCTTTCTTGACACTCCTTGCTTAGGTTCCTCCGGATTCATTCGTGCCTACGAACCCACACCCAACATTGATTTCTGTCTCTGTGATATCACCTCAGTTTTGCCTTACACTTTTTTCACCTGGAGAACTGGAATTAATCTCTCCCTATTCTTTCGATTTATGTTATATTAGTAATTAGCTTGAACAACGTAGTACTCCTTCAGTGTGATTCTGTCAGTGGTCTAGCAACCTTGTCCCGGAGAATATGCGACCCATCCGACCGGACTGTATTCAATTCAGTCGTGATATTCATTGGTAGATGATGATACACTGCTTAAACTCGGTAGCTACAACAAAAATGCCGTCATGGCAAAAACAAGGAGCGATCCACCGACAACAGAGAACATCTTCATGCCAGCCCCATTTTCGTCTCCTGTAATCTGCTGACTATCGACGTTGGAGCCCAACTTCTGGCAAGCAGAGACATAACCTATACGAAAAACTCAATTGTAATCATCTTTCAACAAAACAGTCAAGATAAAAACGTACTGTCCATTAATTGCTGACCGTCTTCCTGAGTAACATTCTGAGAGTTGGCCATAGCGCAGTTGATGCAATCTGCCACTTCACTGGTAATTTCGTTTGTACAGAAGCATGAGGTCAAGCTGTCAGAGGGTTCACAATCAACTTGAGCCTGTTTCCAAAGTACGTTGAAGGTGTGAGATTTTTTTGTGAGAAAGAAACTTGAAGCAAGTGACGAACCGAACAAGTATCTTGACAGGCTTCAAGGGACTGCATGGCTTGGACTAGAGCGGGATTCACGTTGTCTAATCCTGGAAAGCCACTGTCAACTTCGGACGACGATTGTCTCGCCAACAGGCCGACATTCGAGATATTGGCAGCTGGGAGAATGGCAGGTTCAGACTCAATCCTACGATTACGGAAAGAAGCTGCTTACCGCCATATTGGACGACAAGTAATTGGACAAAGAGGAGAGTGAGAGTAGACTTAGATGTCATTATGTGGCTTGATGCAGAAACGATTAGAAGCAGGGAAGATGTACAGAGCAGAAGTACACTTGGGATATTTATACAGAAAAAATCATTAACAGAAAGAGGTTGTCACATTAGATGTTTATACTATAAACCATTACCTCGAAGATGATATCAAAGTAGAGGTCCTTATCATTTCACCACATGCAAACTGTCAATTCATGTTGTCATTGATATCGAACTAGCCGCTGTTCTGCACACTTAGGGCCTACTCGGATGCCACGGGTTTTTAATATAAAGCTCTAATTTATTAGTTACTGGTAATCAGCCGAATGTAACGCAAACCAATGATCGTCTTTCAACGCGTTGGCATCAAGTGTAGGCAGTCAAGGAGAGGCGGCATATACCACGGATTTTCTTTCCGCAAGAACCTGAATAGCTTATTACCATGCCGCCAACGAGTTCCTGTCAAACATCTCTGCCCAAGTGTCTTCAATGCCAGTAACTAAAGACCCACAGGCCACTGGTGGATGTCAGG